CTGCTCAAGACTTAGCACCTTTTGGCTTTGTCCCAGTTTCTTTGCCTGCCAACTCTGATTCCTCAGGTCATGGTCTAGATGGCTCACAAGTTTTCATATTTCTATGGCTCCCTTGACTCCAATAGGTACTTAGTTCAGAACCTTAAAATGGACGAGTTGGCCCCTTATTCCTAAGGTGACCAGTAGCGTTTTTGCCATGACATCTACCTTCCCCCAATGGCTAAGCTGTCTGAAATCCCTTCCTTACGGAAGTTCCATTCTCAGTATGTACCAATTTCCATTGGCGCACAATGAATATAGCTTACTTAGCCAAAGAAATACAAAAAGCTTCGGTCAAGAGTTTTGAAAACAGTTCTTTAAGAGTTTCACAGTTTACCCGTTCCACAGATAGTTCAGCTCATGGCTGATAGTTTAAACATAATTATTCTCAACTGAGATCACATAGACCCGAGATTCAGTCAAGAGATAACGATTGGAACAAAGAGAAAAACACTTATATTAATTTAAAAGACAATTTACAAAAAGAAACATAAAATGGAGAAAAATGGGTATTTGCTCGTGAGGAGTCTTGATGGTTGTTTACAGAGAAGAGAAAAAGGGTTGTCACTTAACTACAGTTACAACTGAAAATTAAACTAAGTTACTAACTACTCCTAAGTGATCTCTTCCTTTCGGACTGCAAACCCTCCAGGATTCGATGATGTTTTTGTGTGAGGGTGGTCCTATTTATAGCTAGAAGAGGAGTGGCAAGACTGTAATTCCCTTGGAGCTAGTTGCTTGACTGAGGGGACGGGACAGTGGCAGCAGAGTGTGAAGCTTGCGTGAATTGCTGAATGGAACAAGGTTTGGTGAGAACTCTTGATTCCCTTGGAGCTAATTCCCTTCCCATGTTTTGCTTCTGTTTTCAGCCAATGAGAACTCTTGATTCTCTGCTCTTCACGTTTCCAGCTGCTCAGTAGGTGCACCGCCTTGCTTTTTAGAAGTCTTTAACTCTACGTTACCTGCAAAGTGTACAGAAGCATTAAATGAATGGAGCAGGTGCATTAAATACTTCTCAGTCCGTTCTCCTTTTAATATATTTTAAAGGAACACGTTACCATCCATTCCCCCACTGTGTTTTTGTCACAAATGTGTAAAACAAGTAATTTTCATGCTGAAGTTGCTCATCAGATAAGGGAACGTATGATATTTTCCATCAAAATAGGCTTAGATGGGAACGAATTTACGTCTTATCAATTGGTAATAGAAACATTTGGTAGTAAGAATGTCCTATCTCATATTTAATACTATATTTTTGGCCAAAATTTTATGTGGTCTCAATTTGCTTGAATTGTCCGATTGAAAAAATCACTCCTACAGTTTAGAAATTAGAAATTTTTAGCTGACAGCACATGGCAATTTTTTTTTTTTAATACAAAAAATTTTAAGCGGGGTTAGACACCGGTATTCCACTAGGGTCAGGGAAGACCCCCAACCTCTTTGAGGATTTTTGGAAAGGATTACATATCACCCACCAACAAAGTCTTCACATCGGCCAGCGGCTCTTGAGAGATATGGACCAAACTCTTAGCCAACTGTGCCCACCTTTAACTGACAGAACCCTGGCAAATTATATTTTTGATGTGGTCTTTATCGGCACGTCGAAAAGTATTATTATTTGGTACATTTTAATGTTTTTGACTTTTTGCAATATTTGTTTTTCAAAAAAATAAAATTTTCTTGTAGTGTAGATATGAGATTTAAAATAATATGTGCGTGGGATAACTAGATTTTGGCCTTAAAAAAAATGCCTTGTATTTGTAAACTATAATAGGTTGTTAACAATGACAAATTTTTAATACCATTTATCGGAGGCACCTTTCAACTTGAACACATTTTTTAAAGGTGACAGAAAAATGAAACCTTCTGATTATTAATGGTGCATTTGTTATTGGGAAATTATTTTTTTATATTGTTTGAAATTGCTTTATTATGTTGTGAGGTATTAAAATTTGAGCTATTTTTTTTTATTTTTTAAATAAGTGATTTATTTTTTTAATAAGTGATGAGCTCAATCAATTATTATGTCTATGACATAAGAGATATTACTTTATGGGTTCGTCATTTTTCCTTTCGCTGTTGATGAGAAAAGTTACAACAAATTATTAATATTAGGATACATGATCGTATCCTGGCCTAAAAAAAAAAATACGTTAGGATCCAGACGCGTATCCTAATAAAAATATACCCTTATTTTATATAACATAAGAAAAGAAAAACCTTTTGTTATTTTTCTGCCCAAATTGATGTCTATAAAAGAAAACCTTCCCAGTTTAAAATATGTATGCCCCATAAATAAATGACTATATGATTAAATCACTAACTGATTGATGGTGACAATTGAGATGAAAAGCGTGTACGAAATAGATCCAAAGCTAGAGAACGATGTTGAAAAGTTTTGTTTTTCATAGCTAATTCAATATTTATTACGTTATAACCTTACATAATTGATGGATACCTGAATATATAATGATTGTAATTAATACATATAATTTTAGAAAGAGCTATATTAGCTGCACAGATATTTATAATTTATAACTCGTGTGTGAATGTGAAGGGATTGTGACTCTGTGAGTCATTAATTTTGACGAGGAAAAAAAGACAAGAAGAAAGAAAGGAAGAAAAGATTTTGATTAATAATGTTAGGAAAATACATTTGTCAAGTTGCATAATGAATGAATAATTATTATGTAAATAAAAAGATAATATAAATTTATTGAATAATATGTCATCTTACTTTTTAATATTATATAATTTATCTTTTTCTTAACATAATAATTATTCATTTGTCATTTTAAGGTCACAAATTCATTTTCCATAATATTATATGAGTTATGTAAGAAATATTATGTATAAATATCCACATTGTTCTTCTAAGCTTCTTCTACTTTATTCAGAAACTCACCACTTTCTGCATTTTCTTCTGTCTAAAATACTGTAATGATCAACGTTACTTATTTTTCTGCTTTTGGTAACTGTTCAACCGTGCCAACGCAACCATTCATTTTCGATATATATTCTTAGAGTTGCAAGTTCCCTTTTCCAACACAGGTGAGTTCTTGCATTTGTGTTTTGTGATAGATAGTTTGCTAGCTGATGAACTTTGATTTTATTTTCTTGTGCATGTCTTGTAGTTGCTTCCAGGAACTGTATAATGAAGGGTATGTTTTAGTGAAGAAAGACATTTTATTAGGGAGAAGGGAATGAAAAACTATTTTTCAGGATGATTTATCTGACTAAAAATATAGAATTAAGGTTGTCCTATTTATTTCATTCTGTCTTCATGTAGCTTAATAAGCTTAAACTGGTTAAAACTAAAAACTTAAAACAAGATTGTTGCTGTTTTGAATTTCTGGCTTTGCATTGCTGCTTAGAGTTTGTGATCACTAGCCTGTGAGGAACTGATGATTTTGTTTTCCTTTGTAATGTAAAAGTACTATTGTCAGGTCTCTGTGTATACATTTTGGCTGAAAGGGAAACCCCCTTTTTGGTTAGAACATTGTTTCTTTTATTTCCATAGATTCTTGGTCAATTGGAGCTTATTATTCAACCTATTTCAGTAGGCAAGAACTTGCTCTCCTCCTTTTCTTTTTCTTATATTTGTGACTTAATGTTTATGTAGGATGAAGGCAAACTTCCATGGATTAAAGAGTAAAGAAATTTCCCTTATTTCCATTGTTCTCATGTCCATAACTATAGTTATATGGTCATGTGAGAAAACACCCGGTCTTACTGCATTTATTCCCCCTCAAACATTGATGCAGCTTTCTTCAGGTTTGCTTTCATTTGTATCATGTTTTCTTTGAATTAAACTGATATCGTATTCCGTCAATACAGAAATATTATTTTACTTTTCTTCTATGAAGGCAGAAGCATGTGCATTGTAAATTTTTTTACTAATTTAAGAGGTAGAGTGTTTAGAGATTGAATGAATGACTGAATGACATAAACTTTAAATCTCTTAAAATATTTGTACTTTGTATGTCAGCTTAGAACTAGAGAATCTCTTAGCACATTTTGTCTCGGTGAGTGGTGAAACTGGACATAAATCTCTAGTTTCTTGATAAGGATAATCTCATCCTTTCTTGATAAGGATGTCATTCGTAGATATCATTGACATCAAATAATGCCTTGTCTTGTTTTAACCAATCCTTGAAAGTTCACGCTGAACAATAAGCTTGTATTTATTCTCATTAGTATTTTTTTTTCTTCCTTTTCTGGTTGTTTTGCATGTTGGCAGATAATTTATTGAGCAGTTCTGTAGTCAACCTGCTAACACCAGAGCCACATATACCTGAAGATGAAGATGAAGATGACTTACCATTGGCAAATGAAAAAACCACCAATGAGCTAGAAGAACTACATCTTAACATCGTATCTCAGGCAGTTTCTGCCCAAAGCTCTTCTGGAAGGGGCCAAAGCAATGATGGAACTCCTCCATATACAGAACGTAATATGTTTCATTCTAGAATCCTCTCTGGTTTATAGAGTTTATTATGCCTCATGTTTTTGTGGTACCTTATCCTGCATGAAGTGAGCATGTCTTGGCCTAGATATTTGGTTGCCTTTCTCATTTATTTACTTGCTTAACCTGTTATTTGCTAGTGTTCAGATTGCTGTGCTTAACATTGTTTTAACCAAGTTGATTGTGTTAATGATATCGTTATGATGAATGTTCTATTATCTCATAAATGGGGGCTACATGGTCTTCCTATTCCCTTTCCCTTCCTCCTCTCTCCTCTCTCCTCTTCTATCTCTGTTAATCTCATGTTACCTTGGGGCTTAAACTTCATCTTTCATTTTGATGATGTAGAAATTCTCCCAACTGTGTCAGATGAAGAAGCAAAACATAAAAAGGAAGCTGGGAAAAGTCATGACGTACCCGCTCTTTCCAGTCCAACAAAAACTGAGGCTAAAAGGAATGAAGCAGCGGGGGAGAAAACTTCAAAACTAGACGAACATAGAACAGATTTTGTCATGGACTTTCCACAAATGAGCTCATTAATCAGTGGAAAAGAGGACAGCAGTTGGAATAATGCTACAGAAAACAAAGGTATTGGAATTTATTCTTATCATATGAGTACATAAATCGTGTTAACTACCAAATTCAAAGAATGTTCAAGCTGGTCCAAGATTCTATAGAAGTCTAATGTGAAACTTACTCTCTTTACGATGATCCGAAGGAAATTTATGCATGCGACTTGTTTTCTTGATGATGAGCTTCCTTTTAAAGTATATCTCTGACTTTTTCTCAAAAACCATTTCTTTTAAGTTTTCTAAGGAAAGCTTGAAACCTTATTTTGGAGGATAACTGATGCATGCTCTTAGCTTGTTTTTTAATAACAAGCTCACTTTTAAGTTTGCCTCTGAATTTCTCTAAGAAACCAATTTTTTTGTTTTGTTTTTGAGAAAAGCCTGAGACACTATAGTTGTAATTATCTTGAAATTAGAAAGAGTATCCTTTTGTTTGTCCCTTCCTCTGTTTGAGAAATGGCCTACTATCCAAGCAGAAACCAATCACTATTTTAAGCGGGCGTAGTAAGCAATCAGATAATATATTCCCATGGACTGATTCTGGGATAAAGAAATTCTCATGAGACAAACTGGATTAAATTGAGCATGTTTTTCCTTATTTTTGCACTAGTTGATCTCATCATACTTTCAAGGATCAAAGTCATTATTCTTCTGCTTCAGGTGAAATTTCACGCACATTTGTTAGACTGATGAACTATATATGTGTAAGTACTGCTAAGTAATGACTGTTCTCTTGTTAACCTTCTCCAGCCTGTAACTATGCAAAAGGAAAATGGGTTCCGGACAACCACGAACCTTTGTATTCAGGATTTGGCTGCAAGAAATGGCTGTCAGGGATGTGGGCTTGCCGCTTGACGCAACGCACTGATTTTGCATATGAGAAGCTTCGGTGGCAGCCAAAAGATTGTCAACTGGAAGAATTTGAAGGATCTAAATTTTTGAGAAGGTATTGCGCTTTCTTACTAATATTTATAGATTTGACTCTTGTCCATTGTTTTAGGCTTCATTTCCATTATTTGATACTTGAAAGTGTGAATTGAGGCAAGGGATGCTCCTCAATATAATTGGAATATGTAAGTTTTGGTAGAGGCATGCGTTAGCATCCTGGTCATATTATTATCATTTTTCTGGTCATATGCCTAATGCTTTGTAACTTGCTTCTTCACTTGTCAATTTCCTCTAGTTTAGAGAACAAATTGCCCCAAATTCCACATCATGGATTGGTATATATTTGCACTCTTTTAAGTTCAAATTATCCTAACATTTTGGGTTCAACTTAAAAGAAGCCTATATGTCTAACAAATTGATAATAATCTGGTGCATTCAGGATGCAGCACAAAACTCTGGCCTTTGTTGGAGACTCATTGGGCCGGCAGCAGTTTCAGTCTTTGATGTGCATGATCACTGGTGGTGTAGAGACACATGATGTGGAAAATGTTGGGAATGAGTATGGATTGGTTCTATCTGAGGACGCTGCCCGCCCTAATGGGTGGGCTTTCCGTTTCTTGAGCACCAATACTACCATTCTGTACTACTGGTCAGCAACTCTATGTGATGTCCAACCTGTTGATGTGAATAATCCAGGCTCAGATCATGCAATGCACCTTGACCGTCCACCAGCATTCTTGCGCCAATTTCTTCACAAGTTTGATGCTCTGGTTCTCAACACAGGTCACCATTGGAACCGAGGAAAGCTCAAGGCTAATAGGTGGGTAATGCACACTGGAGGAGTGCCAAATACTGATAAGAAGCTTGCAGTGATTTGGCGTGCCAAGAATCTCACAGTTCACAGTGTGGTTAGTTGGGTGAACTCACAGCTTCCAAAATATCCAGGTCTGAAGGTATTCTATAGGAGCATCTCACCAAGGCATTTTGTTGGTGGGGACTGGAACACTGGAGGCAGTTGTAACAACACTACACCAATGTCTGTAGGAAAGGAAATATTGGAAGAAGAGTCTACAGATCATATTGCTGCTAGTGCAGTGAAGGGAACAAGGGTCAAGCTCTTGGACATAACAGCTCTTTCTCAGCTTAGGGATGAGGGTCATATATCGCGTTTCCGTATTACAGCCAAGCCTGGTGTGCAAGATTGCTTACACTGGTGTTTGCCTGGTATTCCTGATACATGGAATGAAATACTCTTTGCACAAATCTAGTTTCCACATGATGCTGAATGGAGATATTTAGTTGTTGGCCTTGAAAATGTTAGTTACACCCATTTATTGGCTGAGCAAAGGTCACTCATACTTCCAATACCTTAGTTTTCAGAGGATGGAATCATTGGGATACAAGATGTCCTTAACAGGGTTGAGGGTTGAAACTTTAAGCTGATAAATATGAGGTTTTTTTTGGTAGTAAAGTCTTGGTTAAATATATAATTTTTACTTCTCTTATATGGCCAATTGCGTCCTCATAGAAAAGGTTGGTAGACAAAGCTGCAGTAAAGGAGCATTTGAAGATAGTAACCGGAACTGAGTTCTTCTTGGCTATTAGTTCAAGACATTAGGACATAAAGATACCAGTGTTTTCTTTGTGGGGAGCTAGGGAGTTGAGAAAAGGAATTTGAAGAAAGGTCTAACATCCTTCTGCTTTTGGATTTAGTATACATTATGGAGTTGCATAAGTTATGCAGCATATGCTGAAACATTTCAAGTTCAATATAACATGTTCCACATTATATAGTAGTCTCAAAAGTGACTTAAATCCAACTAATTATCAGCTAACTAAACACAATCAAATAACTGAAGGAGAAGTGAAGTTAAATTACATGCAAGCTGAACCAAATACTCTATTCAAAATGAGATAATTTCCTAAAAACACTTGATATCACTTGAAATAGAATTTTTGAAAATTCTATTAAGCCGAACTACTTATTGAAGTTTGTATTTATCATATTTGTACATCAAACTGTGGTTTCATACTTATGTAGATACTATAGCCCTGTATTTTGAAGAACGTTGTAGTGCCAGATTTATGAATCATGCACGTCTATTGTCAGCACACTTCTATGACTAATGTAGTATTTCTAAATATAGATATCGATAGACAAAATTCTTTTGATGTGAAAGCTAATGTACAAGTTAATCTTCTATTATTATGTATGGCAAATATTTGCACACTTAGTATTTTTTATATTATTAACTATCATGAATCACTCACTTACATAGTTAGAATAGTTTAATCATTTAAAATATAATTTGAAATTAATATAATAAAGTCTGAGGGTTGGCTCTGAGCCTCTTATGACAATACGAGTCCCTAGACGGATGCTAAAGAAACAACCTAACAGGTTCAAAATCTGCAGATATTTGGGGTTATAGTTGAATAATTATCACACCACTCAACTCGATATTAGATCATATCTACGCGGCCCTTTATTTTGCCCGAACTTAGGATTAGTTCATAGTGGTATGTAGGGGTCGTAATTTTCAATATTTGGTGTTTGGATTCAACTATTTTCAAATTTGTGTTGTGTTTGTATTGATAAAAACTAATAGGAAAAAAAAATTATTGTGTTACATGTCAATCTGCAAATATGAAATTGACTTGCTTCATCTTCTTACATGTTGTTTGTTTTGTATGTAAGTTATGTCTTTTTTTGGTTTAGTGTGTGTCCTTTTTTTTTTTTGGTAAATAGTGTGTGTTCTTTTAAATGATGTAAGTTATGTCCTTTTAATGATTTACATAAAGTCTGATCGGTTATTTTCTAAAAAGTATTTTTTTTACTTTACATGTCAGTGATATGATCAGAGAGAGAAAAAAAAAAAGTAACTTTTCAGATTTACACAAAGTATGTCCGGTCATACTTTATGTAAATCACCTGAAAGAACAATAGTTTGTGTCGTTTAAAATGATATTTCTTTTTTCTTATAATAAAGGGAATTGTGTTGGTCCTGTAACAGAACAAACACCTCTTATCCTGCACACACAAAATCTGTCGTTGTCAACCTCTATTTTTTTTTTGTTTTTGAAATTCTCATGGGGCCCATTCTTTTTCATTAGTGCAGGAAAACTATTTTTCTTTCCTATAACATAACAAGTATATTTCCCATAAATGATATATCTTGAAATTATAAATTATTTATGTTACGTGGTGTTAATCCAATTTTAAATTCATGTAATATTAATGTTGAATGTATTCATGTCAAATATTAACGTCATGCAATAAAAAAAATTAATGTAATATAGTGAGAACTGAGAACTGAGAAGGACGTCGTTCCAATACGGCAGACTTTGTACCTAGGATGAAATCAAAGGTGACATCCAATGTGGCCTGTAGGGTAACCCATTATTTTAGAACCTATTTTTGTCCAATACGTCAAAAGAATGACAGGGCCCCACTTGGAATTCGAAAACGGTAGAAACCTGGGTGGTGGTTTGAGACAGAACAGGGACCCCACCCCCTCTGACCCTCCACCACGATTCCTAATTCCCCTTCTTCTTGTTCTTGTTCTTCTTCTTCAGCATTGCCAACAACAGTGTCTGTAAATAATGGCTGAGGAATTTTCAAAAGCGGTGGAGGAGGGGCTGAGGCTGTCGAAGCGAATATACTTGGGAAATGACAGGGCGGTGTCACCACCAAAGCCTCCAATGACAATGCTCAAGTCCAACACCGCATATCTTCCAACAGCACCAATGCTCTATGCTATCATCCATGACCCTGCCATTGTTGACAACCCTGATGTCCCTAGCTACCAGCCTCACGTGCATGGCAGGTGCGACCCCCCTGCCCTCATTCCCCTTCACATGACCGCTGTTGATCTTAAAGCCGATTGCTATCTCGACACCGCCTTCGTCTCCGTAGCCGGTTCCTGGCGCCTCCATTGCGTCTCCGGCAGCCGCAGCTGTGATTGCCTCATCGCCGTCCCCATGGGCCCACAGGTGGGTATTTTTAATTATAAAACTCTTTCTTATATTCTCTAATATTTTATAACAGGACGGATATATTTACAAATTATTTAGTATACAAACTCTTATAATCAAATTTTAAGAGTTATTTTCATTAATCTAATAATTATAATTTATTAAGTTATATTTATTAATTATTTATTAATTTTTAATAAATTATAATGGTAGGTAAAAATCAATGATTAATATTTAATTGTAAGAATTTGCAAATATAATTTTCGTCAGGTTTAAATCATTTGTACGTTATACGAATTTTTTGCGTATTTATCGTAATAATGAAACTTAGGTGTTAAATATTTAATGTAGTTGAGTTGGAGGTGTAGTTAGAGAGAAAATAAAAAAGAAATGGGGTTTGACAATTTTTTGAAATTGTAGGACTGGTGGCTTTTTTTTTTTTTTTAATCTTTCAGCCCATACGGTTGAATGAAAGATGGTCCTGGGAAATTCTTGCTCAACTAGGTTATTTATTCATTAATATTTTACGTTAAATTATTGTGTTTGATATCTGTATTAAACAATTGTTTTACTTTTTATGTGTTACTTTATAATTAATATTTTTTAGTTATTCTTTGGTTTTGCTGTAAGAATCACTTTTGCTTCTAGAATAATTGATTCTAACAGTAATTGCTGTGCTTGGCTACTTTTGTATTTGCTTCCAAATTATTTGATTCTATGTTGTGGGATTGATTGATTATGTGAAAAATGAATTCTTTACTTATTCGATGAATAAAACTGATTAGCTATATAGTTTTAAAAAATACATATATCATTATATCTTAAATGTAATCCTACTTTACTATCTAAGTAAAATTAATTGTTCTAAACTAATTTTTAAAATATTATTTGTAAATACAAATCAATTCTTTTGAAATTAAATTCTCTCAATAGTAATTTTACTAAAGTCTAAACCAAAAATGCAGCATTAGTTATAGAACTTGGATAAACTCCGTCTAGGCTATTTTCCAGTGATCTAAATACATTGTCGGTTTTGTGATATATGTTTAATAAATTTTTAAACAAAAAGGAATTGGTTTTAATCGGTATAAGACTTAATATCTTCAGACTGATTTTTATTAATTATCTTATTATTTGCATCAAATCTTGTAAAAATTGAACACATCAATGTACCTTAATCTCAAACTAGTTGGGGTTAGTGACGAATAAATGTTTTGATAACTTATTGAGGTTGCCATATTAACTCCCAAACTTGTTACATTTAAATAATATTTTATAGGTTTTTGCAGATTTTGTATTCTGATACAATTTGGCTAACAGGGTTCAATTCTAGGTGTGGAGGTTAGTGTTCATAGGAAAACTTATTCTACTCAACTGGTTGATATGGAAGACAACAATGGTAAGGGGAATTGGACCCGAGCTGAAGATGGAGGCTTTCTCAAGCCCAATTTGTTTACTTTGAATATACCTGAGGTAGATATATATATAGTCTGTGTATTTTGAAAGATAATTGATTTTTAGGTGCATATGGTTTGGTTAATGGTTATGTTGTTCTAATGTTGTTTGTTGTTGTGCTTGTAACAGATCAGTGGAGGTTCCAATTTATCGGTTAAAATTAGTTGGTCCCAGAAGATACCATACTGCAATGATGCCTTCTCCTTGAATGTGCCATTTGCCTTTCCTGATTTTGTCAACCCTGTTGCAAAGAGAATGTCAAAGAAAGAAAATATACAAATAAATGTGAATGCTGTTACTGGAAGTGAGATTCTATGCAAGACAATAAGTCATGCCTTGAAGGTTCATATTTGGTTCAGTTTTTTGTGGGATTACAGTTGACATTTTATGTATAACCAATTAAGCATGTGATGTTGTTCTATTCCCTGAATTTACAGGAAGTGAGGCGCAATGGTGGGAGTATGGCCTTCTCATATGAGTCTCAAGTTCTCTCATGGTCAAAGATTGATTTTAGCTTTTCATATGCTGTAAGACTCACGGCCACTTTTAATGTCATTCTTATTTGTAGCTTCAGCTATTGAAAGCTGCACTTTTTGGCATGTTATATGAATTTAGGTTTCTTCAAGTCATATAAATGGTGGTGTTCTTTTGGAATCTGCATCCGTGGATGATTTCGATCAAAGAGAGATGTTCTGCATGTACCTTTCTCCTGGAAATCTTCAGAGTAGGAAGGTTGGTAAAGTATCTGTAAACTCTGTAGGAGTGAATTTTACATTTAATTGTCTTTTTGTTCTCATTGCTGGTTCTACTCAATGTCTAGCTATTCAGAAAAGACATCATATTCGTTATTGACATTAGTGGAAGCATGCGGGGAAAACTAATTGATGACATAAAGAATGCACTAATTGCTGCTCTCTCTAGGCTCGATCCTGATGATTCATTCAGTATTATAGCATTTAATGGAGAGATATATCTATTTTCGACATCAATGGAATTGGCTTCAAAGGATGCTGTTGAAAGGGCCATTGAGTGGATTAACATAAACTTTGTTGCAGGGGGTGATACAAATATTTTGCATCCCTTAAACACGGTAACTTGAATATTCATACAAATTTTCTTTTTATTTTTTGGGGGTGAACATAGTACTTGTTGAATTTTATATTTAACACTTTTTGGTTCTAATCTTCATCATTCAATGTAAAGATTGTTGAGAAGTATGTACCTACTGAACCATAGTGTAATGTACTGAACAAACTAATCAATATATGCTCAACTTAATGCATTTAGAACCCATTCCTTAAATTATATTTCATCTTTTTATGCAACCATTACACTAACTATTATGTATTATTGATGATCAGCACGGTACTTTCCTGTTCACTATCATTGGGTAGAGTTGTATCGTATATTAACTTTGCTTTTTCTATTCAGGCAATAGAGATGCTATCCAATACTCGAAGTTCAGTTCCAATAGTTTTTCTAGTTACAGACGGAACTGTTGAAGATGAGAGACAAATTTGTGATATGATAAAGAATAATCACATGATCAATGGAGAGTCAATATCCCCCCGGATTTACACTTTCGGCATAGGTATTGTTTCTACTCTATGATTTCAAGCCTGGATCATAATATTAGCATTATTACATTCTTGTCCAATTAAAATTTTAAGATAAGTGTCTGTTGGTTTTGGAGATGAAAAATATAATTGAGAAATGAGGTACAACTTTATTGATGCATAACAATACAACTTATAAAGAAAATAATAAAAAGAAACTGCTCACGACTACATAACTTCCCATCAATAGAAAAGAAAACTGCTCACCTCATAACTACCCATTAAAGCAGAAAAGTAACTGCTCACTACTTAACAACTCATTAAAACAGAAATAAAAACTGACTCCTAAATAATTAAAAATATTGCAGTTTCTAAAGCATGATTTCTAACACTCCTCCTTGCTTTTGGAGCTGCAAACACCAATCTTCTTCCTTAGATTTTCAAATTTGCTTGCAGGTGCACAAATGGCTACATTTCATTTTTGATAAATATTGGACAGCAACCTTGTTCCACGAATTGGTGGGTCTGGTGGGTCATCTTCTAACTCTTCTTGCCAATGTTCCACTCCTTGCTCTTTGCTTATTTGGATGAGAGGATCTGATTTCTGCTTACTCATGGATGCCTCTTGTGCTTGTTTCCAGTTCCACTTCTTATCTTCATGAAAATAAACATCTGAGTGGATCAACTGCAGCTTATTGGAGGCTCTCCAACTTGACTTAGGAAATGAATTTCTGTTTTGTTTGCCAAATTGAAAGGCATTACAATTTGCAAAGGTTGGTAAATAATCTGCAAAGGTTGGTAAATCATCTGAAAGCTCCTTCTTCATCAACAACATATTTGAGAGGTGACAATGGCCTAGTCTCTTGTGCCAAGTCTCAGTCACATTCTCCTCTGTGGAAATAGCAGCTTGCTCCTCCTTGATTGGTGCAGCTTGCTCTTCCTTGATTGGTTCAAATGAGAAACTCTTGCCTCTCATTTTTGCTTTGATGATTTCCTTTCCATTCTCATCGTGAATGAGACAAACTCTATTTTCGAAAAGCACTTTGAATCCTTTTTCAATCAATTGGCCAACACTCAACAGATTTTGTTGAATTTCGGGTACAAAAAGGACATCAGGAATAAACTTTGTACCTGAGCAACTTGTTATTGCAACAGTCCCCTTTCCTTTGACTGAAATATAATCACCATTGCCTATTCTGACTTTGGTGATATTGGTTGGCTTTAAATTTTTGAAAAGCTCCCTGTCATTGGTCATATGATTTGTGCAGCCACTGTCAATCAGCCAACTCTCACTCTCTTCGCTGCTTGCAAAACACGTTGCCACAAAGAGTTGATCCTCCTCCTCCTCCTCTTGATCAGCAACCTTAGCTTCTTCCTCTTGCTGTTGATTTTTGCTCTTGCATATGACTGCTTCATGCCCCATTTGATTGCACTTGATGCATTTAGCATCAGGTCTCTGCCAACATCTGAAAGGAGGGTGACCCATTTTGCCACAATGCTGACAAGGTGGGTAACTTTTCTTTTCACCCTTTCCTTTGTTGTAATTAGTTTGTTGGCTCTTGGCTAGAAGAGCACCTTCAATAGCATGATCTTCCCTCATCAATCTTCGCTGCTCTTGGGCTTGGAGAGCATGTAGCACTTCTGCAAAAGTAATTTTAGACAGATCTTTTGTGTTCTCCAACGAAGCAATAGATGCTTCGTACCTCTCTGGCACTGTTACCAGAATTTTCTCAACAATTCTGGAATCTGCAAAATTACCGCCCAGTAACTTTATCTTGTTGGCAATGCCCAACAATGTGTCTGAGTATTCCTTGATTGTTTCAGACTCTTTCATCCTTTGAATCTCAAATTCCCTCATTAAGTTAAGCACCTGCATGCTTCGAATTCTTTCATCTCCAGCATATTCTGCCTTTAGATAGTCCCAAATTGTTTTTGCCGATTTGAGAGTCATGACCCTAGTAAAGATGGTTGTAGAGATACCAGCAAAAAGGCATGATTTTGCCTTTGCTTTTCGGTTTTTTTTCTCCTTATGATTCTTGATCTGGGCCATGGTGGGATTGTCCGGCAGAGGAAGGACTTCATAATCCTCTTCTACAGCTTCCCAAAGATCCAAAGCCTCTAGGTAAGCCTCCATTTTGACGGCCCAAAGATCATAGTTTTCCCCATTGAAAACTGGAAGAGCTGCTTGGGAAAAACTTGTTTCATAATCCATTCTACAGGTCCCGTAAGAAAAGGGCTCTGATACCAATTGTTGGTTTTGGAGATGAAAAATATAATTGAGAAATGAGGTACAACTTTATTGATGCATAACAATACAACTTATAAAGAAAATAATAAAAAGAAACTGCTCACGACTACATAACTTCCCATCAATAGAAAAGAAAACTGCTCACCTCATAACTACCCATTAAAGCAGAAAAGTAACTGCTCACTACTTAACAACTCATTAAAACAGAAATAAAAACTGACTCCTAAATAATTAAAAATATTGCAGTTTCTAAAGCATGATTTCTAACAGTGTCATTAATTGTATAAACTTTTTATTTGTTCCCTTCCTGATGTTAATGGTAAAACCTCATTAAATCCCAGGTTCATTCTGCAATCATTATTTCTTGCGGATGCTTGCTATGATTAGTAGGGGCCAACATCATGCAGCATTGGATGTAGGCAAGTTCTGAATTTTAACTTCAAAAAGTAAATATCATTATCATTGTTTATCTTTCTTTCTGTCATAAGCTAAGTGACACTGTTGGATTCTAGAGAAATTTGGTCATCAAACCATCTCAATGATCATATGCCTAATGAGAAATCAAATTGAGGTTGGTTGCATAGTCTATGCATTCTATTTGAAGCACCTGATTGTTGACTAAGCCATGAACTAATTGCATTCTTCAAATAAGAGCTACTGCACTGATTATACGTATAAGTTTCTCAATGCTTATCTAAAAATACTAATTCTTGTGAATAATGTCTCTCTCTCTTTCTCTCATGTTCATTTGCAAGAAATGCATAAATATTTGAAATAGTAGAATAAAATTGCTGATTGGTCACTTACTAGTAGGTAGGCCTGTGGGCATTTTTCTCAACCTTATTAAAAATGCTTTCGGCGTCTAACACTAGATATATCTATTTAATGGCACTATGACCTATTTGAATTATTTATTGCCAGATTTGGTTGAGCCTCATATGCTGAATTTATTTGACAAAGCTTCATCTGTTATTCTTGCAAATATCACGACGGACATATTTGATGATCTGGACGAAGTTGAGGTAAGCATTTTACTGACAACTCTAACAGAAAAAAAATGTGTCTTCTGTGTTTTTTTATTTTCCATGCTCACTTCTAAACATATTCAATATGTATTAGTTCCGAAAATTGTCTTTCATGATTTTGATCCTTTTGCTTCAGTTCTTTACCATAGCCCTAGCACAAAATATGTGTATCTGTCTTTGTTGAGTAATTTATGACAGATCCTGAATTTATGACTCTGATATAATAAACTACTTTGCAGTGACTTTGTCTTTTTTATATTGCACTCTCTTCCATTTTTGGTGATGTGTGTTGTACTTTCATTTTTGGTTATGATTTTTTCTGTAGAGAAATATTAAAAAGTGAAGATTCATATGATGCCATGACATTTCCTGTCAATTATAGCAATTAATTTTCTGTGAAATGTGTGCCATGATATTTTGCATTTTTATCTAGCTTTCCCTGAACTAGTGGCTCTCTCTAATGGTTGCAATGTCTTATAATAGGTGTACCCTTCCCATATTCCAGATCTTTCGTCAGATGGTCCATTGATTTTATGTGGAAGATACAAGGGGAATTTTCCCAGAGTTCTTAAAGTTAGAGGTACCTTGGCTGATTTCAGTAATTTTGTAATAGATATGAAGATAGAAGAGGCTAAGGGCTTACCTATAGAAAAGGTAATGTTCTCTGTACTACTAAGCATATTTACATTTCAAGTTTCTCTGTTTTTTAAAATTATATCTACAATTTCTGAAGAGGAGGTTCCAAATTTTGTTTGTGGGTGCTGGACACCTGTTTGGTACTCTGCCATCCTCTTTGAACTTTGAAGGATCTGTTATTTCATGAAGAATGGATTAATAGTTGTGTCACGTTTTACCATTGTTATATTAAATTGGGATCTAGACAAATTAATCATATTTCCTTCTCTTCATCCCATCTTTATGTTTTTCTGTGTGTTAAAGAACCAAGGTTTATCAGCCTTCTATTTTTTTTTTTTTCCCAAGTATGCATATTCCAAAAGTGTTGGTTTGCTTCATGTTATTCTTGCAGTCATGTTCTTGTAACAAATTTGCACAAGTTTTATCATTCTGTTATATTTGCTTTATTATTTCTAGTTATTCTAAGCTCTACTTTATCTTTAATAGGTTTCTGCAAGAGATCAAATAGAGTATCTTACTGCTCAAGCATGGCTTTCAAAAAATAAACAATTAGAACAGAAGGTTTGTTATTACCTTTTGTGCCTCGAAACTTTTCACATTAAGTTGTAATGGTGCCTGTTTTGGATGTTCGGCCATTTTTTTTTTCCTTCTATTTTCTTACCTTTAATAAATGTTCTTATACCACATCATTTAAATTGGCAGGTTGCCAAACTGAGCCTACAGACTGGCTTTACGTCCGAGTATACGCGAATGACAATTCTTGAGAATGATCCACTAATGAAAGCCAAGATAGATAAAAAAGTATGTATCGGAAGTTTTGAGGTTCTTTTTCCTAATAAACTAGATATTATCTTATGTAAACCTGCTTTTGTCATTGAATCCTTAAAATGAATTTACTTTCTGCATTTAGATGTATGGTGATGATAGAATTTATACCTAAGTTTAGTGGGTTGGTTTGTATGTTTTAATTGAGGGATTAAAGTTTCTCCTGCAAATAGGAGATAACTTTATCTCAGTACCCTCACATGGAAGTGAGTGAAACCCAATGAAAATAAGAGATTAAAAAAAAAGTGGAATGTACCCACTTTCATGCATGCGCAAAAGATAAAATTATCTCTCGTGTGCAGGAGAAATATTAAACCCTTTAATTGAATGTCCATAATCCAATTTCCTATTATGGTTTTACATATATTGTTTTTCAAAAAACTAAACCTTTTCTAATTGTTCTTTTGAAATCATGGCAAAAAGGTGTCAAAAAAGATCCATCCTCGGAATGGGGACAATGTTGAAGGCCAGAGAACGATTTTACTCCCAAACTTTGGTATAGGCTTTGGCAACTTGAGAGCAACCGCTGAAAACACTCCACCAGGATCTGAAGAAACTAGATTGCCTGATGGGGCTGAAATGTTTGTTAAGGCAGCCTCAAATTGTTGTGGCACCTTCTGTAATTACTGCTGTTGCATGTGCTGCATCCAGGCCTGTACCCGGATAAACAGCCAATGTGCAAATGCATTGGCTCAGCTTTGCGTTGGTTTAGGGTGCTTCAGTTGCATCAGCTGTTGTTCAGACATGTGCTGTTCTGGAAATGAAGGCTGAAATCTCGAGATTTGTTGTATGATCATCGTATTTCACTACATAGAAATTACTCTTTGCGAGTTGTTCTTTTGGAAATGTATATGCTTAAGTCATCTTTTCGTTTTATAGTTTCTCTTCTTGCCAGAGTTGTGTTGTATAGGTTTGTTTTCCAAGAGGATAGTCCGGCATGTTGAGATTTGCAATAGAAAGTCAATTTTCAATGTGTTATATGTCAGAAGAGAAATATCATTCTGTCAATATATGGCCCTGTTTGAATGCTGTTCTTAAAAAGTGTTTCTTGGTTTTTTTTCTTGATAAGACCTGTTTTGTAAAAAAAAATTTAAAAACTGTAACTATTTTTTGTTTTTAGAATCAAATTTAGATAACATGTCTGAGATTATAACACAATCAAGCAGATCTTATACTTTTTACTTCCTCCTTTTGCAGTGCTCTTACTCTGCTTATTTTACATTAAAAAATAGAAACATCATCTCAATGGATGTTTTCTGTTTACAAATAATCAAATTTAATGGAAATCTATTGTCATTTTATCCTTTTGGTTATAACCTGAGTAATGGTATTTATAAAATCTATTTTAGCTGCATGAGCATTTGTATCAAATATCCCATGTAAAACACCCAACATTGCCAATGTAGTCTATATCTGAAAAACAAAGGTAGCCTCTTGAAGTCTGATTTTCATCCTCATATCATATCTACATCATTTTAATTTCATTCCCTTTCCCTGTAAGATTTTCTGTGACAACTTTCTCAACTTGTATATCTGTTTCTTCTTCCTCTTCATCTGATGAAACCACTGTTTTTTGATGGAAGGTTTGCTGAATTCTCGTCACTCCCTTTTCCACAGGCCCTATGGCTTGATTTATAGTCAGTACAACATCCTTGACAACCTGCTTTTTTTTTGTTATATAAAATTAATATTCCTATTATGGATAGGATGGAGTTAACAGTGACAAATAAAGCAACTTCTGTTATTATTATGCAATGAACTTACTCGTTGACCACCTTCAACAACAATATCCTGGACGCTCTCTGTGACGCTTGTTCTTGGAGCCTCAACTTGAGTATTTGTCTCTTTAAGCACAGCTGGTTTCTCCTTGCCTCCTTCATCTATCTCCAATACTGCCTCTATTGTTTCCTTTGTGACTTTCCCATATGCAGGAGAAGCAGGAAGAAAATTATATGGTTTTGCAGAAAATACAAACACATGAGCAACAGCTGCAATGGCCATCTGCATCACCAAGGACATGAGTTTAGTAGTCTTTAAACCTTAACATGAAAGGAACTGCATCTTCTATTTTTCAGGCATTTGAAAATTGAAATTGCCATTTTTTATTTGCCCATTTTTTTTTATTCCAAGTAAGTCTATGCAGTATGAAATTCTTTCAATTCATTTCCCGGGGTGGGGAGAAAGAGGGCTATTAGCCATTTTTTAAGAAACTATAAAGCACAGAATGGTAAAGGGTTTATGCATAAGCACCCAAATTTCGAGGCTAAGAGCTGAACTTTAGTTCACAATTCATCCACCCAAAAACAGACACAACGAAAAGAATCACCCATGATGTTTCACTCACTCAGATCCCATTTTGCCAGGATTGCACACAGAAAATGCAGATAAAGCTTGCAAAGTTCAAGGAGGCAGATAAAATGTATCACGTTCCCTACTATAAGCATAGGACATTATCCATCAAACTTAGCTTCTTAAAAAGTTTATATTATATCTTGAAAGTGGTTAAGAAAAAGACCACAAGACAATAGCATAAAGAGGGAACAAACCTCTATACAAATTAAGAAATCCTGCAATCCAGTTTGAAATTTTCCCTCCTTGGGTAGCACTCCAAATGTACACAAGAGTGCGATACCAAAACCTTGCCACCAAGTAGCGAACACAATAGCCTTAAAACTGATGAACTTTGCTAGCGGCCTTATTGGTTGAAGTCTCTCATGAGTAACATTATAGAACTGCACAAGGCAGTATAATGCCCACATCTGGCTGAAGTTCAATACTACTGCTATATATGGATACCTGCAAAGTGTGGGAAACAATGATTACTATTGAGCAAAGTTGAAGATGCATTTGCCAAATATCAATCACCGTGTGCATTTAATAGGAAAGAAAAATGCATGGTTGAAACATTAAAGATATATCAGTTAATGATGTGAGACACTGATAAACCAAATCTTTGGTTCCACTTTTGTATGAGAAACATACCCGTAGTACCACTTGAATTCCCCATCACCATAAACACCTAACATTTCCAATAGAAATGCTAAGAATGCACAAACGGTCTTCAGGATCATCTGCACTATATCTAAGAGACATTAGAGTCGCTTTAGAGCTACACTGAAACAATATTAAAGAAAACTTCAGCGACCTACATATTGGACAAGACCAAATTTTTCTATTGTGAGAAGATCTTTTCCAAGCATACATGGACGCCAAAAGAAGTTACAAAATGATCTCTGTTCTATGCCATGATTCTCATCTGAACCATCCAATAAGGATTTTCTAAGATGTTCTCCAGATTCATCTTCAAGTAGTTCTACAACCCTTCCTTCACCACCTAACAGTTTTCATTTGAAGAATAGAGTCAAGTGAGACATTTTATGAGTTCTGACATATAGCATCATGATATATGCTCTTCCCTAAAAGAGGATTACATACCAAGTAAAATGAAGAGAAATTATGAGCCAAAAAATACTATAGAAATTTAACAAATTAGGTGTCCGAAGTCACACACACCCCATACATTTTTACTGTTGGAGAGGCTTGGGGTGACAGGATTGCATGGAAGTTAGCATAACATCAGGTATATAAGTTGCAAATTTACAAAGTATTAAGTAGTAGTAGTTGTATCTTGCCTTATGTGTATATGCTGTAGATGATTTCTTTCCCTTGTTAGTTTCAGGGTTGTTAGTTTCTGTTATGGTGTTTCTTTTCTGTTACTTTATATTCAGCTCTATAAATAGAGCTATGTAAATACTCTATAATGATCCAAACTGGTAAATCTTAATTAGAGGTTTAATTTAAGGATTTAAATGTCATAATTAGATTCAGAGCGTGATTTCAAGTATTTTGACTGTAATCATGACTAGGTTATGAACAGTGCGTTCTGCCGGGTAATTTACAGTCTTGTGAATAACCGGTAGAGCTTAAATGAACAAAATGAGTTTAGAGACATAATTTGACAATTCTGACTCCAAATATGAGTTCAGAACGAAAAATTGTATAGTCTGGCACTTTTCGGAAAAATCTCGTGAATAGTGTTTTCTACCGGGTATTTTGTACTGCTGTTAAAGCAACCGGTAGAGTCCAGAAACAAATAATTGATGAAATAAGAATATAAAAGTTCAATATATGCCATACAAGTCAAAATAGGCCCAATAATGATAAGTTTGTAAGTTTTAAGTTTCATAAGCAAACTATGTACAGTTAGTGATTCACAGTGCATTTCGTCAAAAACGGTGCAGAAACCATACTGTGAATTAGGAATATTGTTCATTAAGAAATAAAAAATAATGTAAATGATTTTAGAAAAATAAAAATATGTCCGTAGCTTTAAGTTAGTTCCGGGGCAGTTTAAGTAAAAATACGCAATAGAAAAACAACCGGTTGGAAAGCCACCTGTGCATATAAGTCCAACTCAGTTAAGTGATCACTATTCACTCAAAAAACTCGCTCTTCTCTCTGTTCATACCCGAGTTTCAGCCATGGAAGGGGGGGTTAGGGTTTTGTTTGATTTTGCTTGATTTCTTCTTGAATCTCTCATCAAATTACAAAGTCCACCACATGAAATCGATTGTAAACCACCCAATGAATCCACTCGACCAATCAATTTGAGCTATAGTTGATTGTGTGAGGAGTTCTTCCTCCCCCCATTTTCGTGTCACTATTCATCAAGGAGAAGAAATTGCATTTTTGAAGGAGTTTTGCTTGGAGATGGTTCTCTAGACTTTGTACAAGTGATTGGAGGTAATAAACCCCTATTTCCATGGTATTATTTTGATGATTTAAGCCATGAAAATTATGAGCATGTTTTGGGAGGGAAATAAGTTAGTTTAAAATTTGAATTGATGATGTATTGTGGATGATTTGGAGATAGAATTGGAAAACAAGCATTTGTATGTTAAAAAAATTGAAAAAAATCCCATGTCTCTCTTCCCCTGTGCCTCGGCCTTGTGAGAGTAATTAGGGTGTAAATTGTAAAATTGTATCTTATGAATGGGGAAGGTTCAATGTGTTGGGAAAGTGCAAATCTGATGAGTTGGTAAGAATGAAAAGTGGGGAAAAATCCTATGAATAATTGCTCTTATGTTTTGGCCTTGGGGGCTTTGGAGGGACTTGTCATTACAAAATTTAATTGGAACCTGATGAATACATATATGTGTATGTGTAAGTTGTTAAAATAAGTGAAGAAAATAAAATGAAAAAGAAGAGAAAACCTTGGTTTCTCCCTTGGATTTCGACCTAGGAGGTGGTTTAGGGGTAGATGTAGTTACATTTTATTTTAATAAAATGTGTTGTATTACAATGTATGAAATTGATGAACTAAGAAGTGAAATGGCTTGAAAAATTGTTGAAAAAAATATCTTGATTCCCTAAGGGTATTTCCAAGGCCTTTTGAAGAAAAATAGCATGATTTATATCGAAAATTCTCAAGTGAACACTTGATTAAATTAAAGAACGATAACGATTATAAAATGGTCTAGACTTGTGTATTGGCATAGGATTGGCAAAAATATAAAGAAACGAAAGTAAGCGATAAAATGTATGCCTTATGTAAGAATCATGGCATTGGATCATTTTATTGATTTTGTTGTGGATCCTTCTCTAGGTGTGCCTAGGGACTGAAAAGGACCGGAATCTTATTGAAGCTATATAAGTAACTTGTGACACAAGTAAGCGAATTGTTAAAGCTTCAAGAGGTAAGCTCTATGTTTAAGGAGTTTTTTCCTGCTTGAGTGCTCCACCATGGTTAGTGAACTATGGTTCAATTGTATGACTGTTGTTTTGATACTTTGTATAGATGCATTCATATAGAGTTATTTGATAACATGAGATGACTGGTTCTGAAATGATTTCTGTATTGATGTACACTGATGTCTTCTTGGGGTTTTCCCTTAGATTGACGATGTACACCTCTGACATGTTCTGGTTCCGCTTGGGGTCCTCCCTTGGGAATGACGGCGCACGCCTCTGATATGATATGGATATATGCTTTGTTCTGTTATGATATCTGTTATATGTGCATTGTATACTCTGTATCTGACTTTCATGCAGGAGTGAGCCAGGGGTATGGAGAATTCTCTAGAAACCTGGAGCTTATTGAGATTTGTTATCTCACCCCTCTTTGGGGACATATTTTCAGGTGCCCAGATTCTCGGTGAGTCCTCACTAGGCAGGGACGCGACCCGTAGTTGAGGCGTTGGGACGGATCAGTTTTTGAGTAGCTGTAGGCTACTAACCTTTTGGAGTGCATTTATGTTATTTAGTATTTTCCGCATTTGATGGATTATGATGTTGGATCCTTTATTTTGTATATGGCCTGTATATGTTTTGTATATTTCTGTCAGTTTGACGCATGTACATTTGTGTATTCAGGCATGTTGATATGACTATGTAGTATTCAGTTATGTTTACGTATTGGATTGCATGCTGTTAGACTAGTGGCACGGAGCCAAGCTATGCATGCGCCCATGGATGGACATATGACTATATTTGGATGTCTGGTACTTCTGAATTAATATGTTGTATAAACTGTCTATCAGGAACTCTTGAAAGTGGGATTGGAAAATCCCCAGTTGTCCGATTTACAGAGGTTACTCTGTCCGATTTTCGTTTCGCCGAATACAAATTAAACTAGAAAAAGAAAAAGTTAGCCCGTATTTTCGTAAGTTAAGTCTTCCGCTATTTCTATTTGTATCGTATGCATGTTAATTGAACCGGCTCGAGACGAGGATGTTACACACTTCACTGTAACGATTCACTTATTTACACACTTAATAACAGAAATGATTTTCTCTCAAAATTTTCTCTCTCTTTCTCGTCCTTTCTCTCGTTTTGCTTCAATGGAGAAATTCTAATACAAAGCAGAAGTGTTTCTCAAACAATAATTTTTTTTTTTCAGTTTCACAACCTTCATGACCAAATTTCAGTCGCATGTGTAACATGTAAGTTTTATTTTTATTTCATTGATTTCTCAAGTAACAAACCATATTTAGCAGAGACAATATAAAGCAACCTTAGCTATGTTCTTAAGACATTGAAATTACAGTTGGTAACTTACCAAGACAAGCAATCAGATATCTTCCAAAAGCATAAAGGGCAAAGGCTTCATAGTAGTTTCTTAAAATGTCACATGCAAGAGATAATCTTGCATTCCACAAAGAAATAATCTGGAATGACAGAGAAAGAGAAAACAAAAGCTCGGAGTTATTATTGATGTCACTGCTCTAACTCATCAGATATAGAGATTTGATTAAGAGATGGCACAAATAGCCTGCTTTCTACTTGGTTTAATAAAAGAGATGTTACTTGGATTGAAGGGAGTGTGATTAACTCATGCTCGAGTGTGATTAACCATGCAATTTCATAACTTTAAGAAGCATAGCAGTTAAACATTAGCCTGAAAGTCTGTAGCATATATGGTTTTCTAGAATTACTTCCTCCCTGTTTGGATGGAGAAAGCTCACACTTCATGAAGAATAATAAAACCATATATTTATTGGATTAATTAGTAAAAAATAGGAATTTGTACTTGACATTTTCCTATATCATATCACCTATTATTGTAATTCCAAGAATCATCTTGATCAAATGCTAAGAGGGTGGTATCTTGATTTATATCCTTCCTATTATCTCCAATCCCTAATTTAATAATATATCAACACAGGCATGGATTTGTCTGTGATCAACAGATGCATACTACTCAAGATTCATCTAACTTAAGTATACTCAAATAATCCAAGAGTTGGCCTAGTGGTTAAGGAAGTGTACTCCTTAGTCCTTACATTAACTACTCAGGTTTGAACCTTGAGCCAACACTTAGGGGAATCAATTAATCCATAATGCTATAAACAAAAACTTACACACAAATGCCTTCACCTCGCATAACACCTGATTAACCAACTAGCAAACTTATTTAAAAAAAACTTCACACGTACTTCCACCAATAAGTCATAACCTAATTTAAAAGCTATTATCATCCTGTGTGAAAAACTTTACCACTGATATTTAAGGCCAATTTAAAAGGTATTGTAGTACAATACCTAGAGCATATATTTGATCCTCCCCGGTATCGTCTTTGGGAGGGGTTTACCTGGACCTATCTCGAATTGGACTAGTTATGAAGCGATATTGGGATATCTCCAAAAAAAAAAAGGGCATTGTAGTAATGAATTACTACCTAACTTAAAAGTAATTATCATCCTATACGAAGGAACTTACCACTGATCTTTAAGGTTTTCACAAAGTAAATAGAACAATGAAATAGTTGTTAAGTATACATAGATTTTTTGATAGTAAGTTTGCTAACTGGTTAACCAGATGTGAAGTGTGTGAGTATTATTCTTAATTAATTCCCTTAAACGCACCAAGCTGATGTGGTGCACCCTTAACATTTTCTAAAGACGGACTTGGTATTGGCTGATGCAAAAGCTGGCCTAAGAATACCCTTACCGTTCAAAAAACAAAAACTCAAATCCAAACCAGATTGGACCAGTCCCACAGTTGATAATTTTGCAGAGTCCATGAGCCCCTTGCCATAAAACCAAAGACAAGTCCATCACAGAATGTTTGTATCCTGATATATCCTTAAAACACTTCAAGAGTTCAAGACTAGATGTAATTGTTCCTTCCAACCACTAACCCAATGATGCTAAAAAGAAATAGGAATATGTTTCTTAGAGTAATAGAACCTTACAGACTCTGTGGCATAGATTGGGACCATAGAAACAACAACAACAATCCACTTTTGCTCCTGAATGCAAACCAATTTCGGGTTAGCCCAATTAGTTCGGAAATCCAAAAAGATCTCATTGAAGTTAAAAGGTTGGAACAAGAATATGTAAAAGCATACAGCATGAAGTTCATGATTGTAAGTAAAATACATTTTGTAACATTAACTTCACCGAATACAATTTCAATGAACAAGCACATTAGAACTTATTCACAGCACATGGCATATAAAAGGGGAACAAAAAATAGAAATCAATTTGACTGCTCAAATAGCTATGAGAAAAATTAACTCACCGCAGGATTGGTATATGATCTGAGATGTTGCAGAATTAGAAGAATGGAGAGCACTAGCGCTACAAGCACACAACAACCCGCAATTATGAGAGCAGAAGGGTGCAGATTTTTATATATTCCTTCACAGTTTGAGAAATGATTTGATTCCATTCCTCAAGCATCTTTCTCTCCTAGCTCTTCAGAATTTTTGGTATGATTAATAATCACCAAAGCATGCAAGATGCAACATTAAATGAAACACGAGTTCACTACCGCATCTTAAGCATTCAACCCTACAATTGGAGGAACATTTCCATTTTCCCTTTAATAGAATATATATAGATGATTAAGGTTCAAGTTCTTAATTAACAACCATTCAAATGCTAATTATCTTCATATCTCATTCATCAGTAGCTCCATGGTTCATGTTTATTAGAATTAAGTCCATGCCTAATTCACGAGTCTCAATTATCAATACCATTGTGTGCTTCAATCCGTGCCAAAACTCTAATGATGTTAAAGATTCATACATGTCTACATTTTCTAACATCTTGTTTCTGGGAAAGAAAAAATTGTTACATTTCTACTCTGATATAAATTAACAAATTTGAAATTTATGCTCTCAATGTAACAAATGGAATTCAATTGGTGTTAAACAAAACATGATCAAAGAATCAATTGCCACATAAAGAAGGGAATCCATGAACCAAAACAATTCAGAAAAAGAAACAAGTAACCGACCTGTTGAAAATGTTACTGACAAGACAAACCTTTGTCCTTCACAAACCAAACTCCGAACCTGTTTACAAAAAATGTGGCAAGTGCAAACAAAACCTCCATGCATATACGTGCCACGTGCAACAAAGGGATCTTCACAAGTTTGTGCAACGGATTGACACGTTTTGCTATATTTCTACTTTGTCACTCCACAGAATGACACGTATATAGAGCTTCATCACAGTTAAAAGTTAATCAGGAGTATGCATAAATAGAACATTGATAATCACAGAGGAGTGTGAAAAAAAGGTGTAGAATTAAACATGTGTCAGAAATAATTATTATTCAGTAACCATCAAAAATTTGTAAAAGAATAATCTTTCTAATTAGTTTGGCATCTAATATAATCATCAGTATAGTCAAACTAATTAAATAAGTTATTAATATAAGATTTGATGATCATAGTGCATGTAGACAATGATCTAGTTCAATTTAATATACTATTTATGTGAAGCTAAATACTTCTTTAAATATCCATGATTGATTGAAGTAATAGATAACTGTTATTTTAAATCATAAATTAAATTCAGAAAAATTAAATTTTTATTTCAAATTTTCATCAGTTTCAGTATTTACATTTCAATAATATTTTAGATTTTTAAATTGAAGGTGAACAAAAGGTTGGATAAGATGCAAAGACAAGGAAAAGTGAGAAACGAGAGGGAATGAAAAGTTAGAGAAAAAGATAAATGAAGTTATGAAAGATTAAAATAATATAATAAAAACTAAGCCACTAGAATTTATCTAGTGACCAAGAATTTTAATAGTTTATATTAGGTTATGTGTTCAATTCTCATCATTGTACGTAATAAAAAAAAGTAATATAATAATTTAGGAATAGGCGATGTGTGGCAATATGTTAGGAATGATCAGCCCAACATCAAGAGGAGAGCTGGTGCCCCTTCGTGGGCCAAGGATTATGTGGTTTGAGCAGCCCAAAAGATTACTGTTGTCATGGTTCTTTTATTTGCTGTCATAGGTTCTGTTACATACCATTAAGTGGAGTAATTGTTGTTAGTCGTTTGGGGCCTTATTATTAGCTTTCAATAGTGAATTTGCTGTTATGCATTGTGATTAGTATCTGTTGTTAGTAAACGATACAAGCATGAGTCATGGTGTACGTGTCCTGTTTTTTATGCTTTCTGTTGGAGTTGTTAGAGACGTGGCATATATGCCTGATAGGGTCATTTTGTGAAGCAGATTATGAATATACAGAATCCTTTCCTTTGTTTTCTCTGATTTTCTCTTGCAATTCATCTTGTTCCTTCGTTGAGATTCCACTGTAGGATCCGCTATCCTATCATTGGTGCTTTCATATCTTTGGAGCTCACCAAGATTTCATCATGCGTGTCCAGGAATTGGCCGATGAGTTTAGTGCGTTCCAGCTTCGTGTCGATCGTAGCTTGGACGATCTGCAAGCTAGGGTTGAGTTGCGTTTCACTGAGCATCAAAATCAGTTCATCAGTCTTACGGCTCAATTACAAGAAATTCATGCTGCGGTGGTTGGGGCCAATACTCGAACACATAGCGTGCCTTCTGCTTCTGTCAATGATTCTGGCGGAACATCACAGCCGCGTTTCGGTGCTGATGATCCTCGTTCTTTTCTGAAATCTATTAGGATGGAGTTACCTAGTTTCAATGGTTCTGATCCCAATAGTTGGATCTTTCGTACTGAGTTGTATTTCGGGTTGCAGCAAGTTCCGGTTGCACTTCAGGTCCGTTTGGCTGGCATGCAGATGGAAGGATTGGCAGGGCCTTGGTTTCAGTGGCTTTTTAATGGTGGTTCCATTCATTCGTGGGAGCAGCTGGAATTAGCAGTTCATCAGCGTTTTGGAGGAACGACTTATACTGACTTGAGGGGAGTACTTTCCAAGCTAACACAGGAGGGAAATTTGGATGAGTATATTAAGAAATTTGAGGCTCTTATTAATCAGGTATCTGAGTTTTCGGATGAGGTCCTGATGAGTTTTTTTGTCTCCGGATTATTACCTGATCTACGCAGGGCCATTCAATTACATTCTCCCACATCTCTCGATCAAGCTATGCAGCTTGCCATTACCTATGATGCAAATTTTGTCGAGTTGCGTTCTTCTTTTTCTGCCACAGGGAGCAAGAAGATCTTTGCTAAAAATTCATACACAGTGAAGCAACCCAAACCTTTGACTTCCATTCTGCCAAACCAGAAGCCTTCTTTTCCAGCATTACCATCAAATGTTCCTTTTAAGAGGTTGAGTAATGAGGAACTAATGAAGAAGAGAGAGCTCGGCTTATGTTATACATGTGATGAGAAATGGAATTCTACACATAAGTGTAAGTCCAAGCTGTTTCTCATGATTGGTGATTGGGAGGATTTGGGTGATGAGACTGAAGAACAGATTCTGTGGCAACCAAAAGAGTCACATGAAGTGACACACGAGGCTGCCTTGCACTCTTTAAAAGGGGATACTAATCCAAGGGCTCTCCAATTTCGGATTGAATTCAAAGGAAGGCACATTCCTGTTTTGGTTGATTCAGGGAGTTCCCATAACTTCATCCAAAAGCATTTGGTTGATGAGCTGGGATTACCAACAGTGAAGGTTCCTCGCATGAGGGTGTTCTTGGGGAATGGAGAGTTTCTCATCTGTGACAGGAAATGTTTGAAAGTCCCTTTGAGCATTCAAGGATATTCTTTTGTAGTTGATTTGTGGATAATTGAACTCTCTGGATTTGGGATTATATTAGGCATTTCTTGGCTGAGTCTACTTGGCAGGGTTATCCATGATTATGCAGAGTTATCCATGGAGTTTATGACTAAAGGAGGCAGGGTGATGTTACAAGGTGAGACTCACTGCAGGGATGGAAAATTGGTTTCCCACCAATGTCTGAGTCTAGAAGGGAGGAAGGAGAATGTGGAGTCTTCTATTTTACCCGAATTATGGGAGTTGAAACAGAAAATCCCTGCTGACATTTGGGATGTTTTGGTGCATTTCCAACCTGTTTTCCAATTACCCAAGGGGCTGCCACCTTCCAGGAGCTTGCGACCATGCCATTAATTTGGTAAATGAAGCTCGACCAGTTAATGTCAAGCCATATAGATATGGCTATCATCAAAAGGAGGAGATAGAAAATCAAGTCTCTGAATTATTGGCTTCGGGACTTATCAAAGAGAGCAGGAGCCCTTTCTCTTCACCTGTTTTGCTTGTCAAAAAACAAGACAATTCATGGAGAATGTGTATTGATTATAGGGCCCTAAACAAAATCACCATTTGAGATCGTTTTCCCATACCGACCATTGATGAGTTACTAGACGAGTTGAAGGGTGCCCGGATCTTTACCAAGTTAGACTTGAGGAGTGGCTATCATCAGATCCTATTGATTCCAGAAGATACTTCCAAGACTGCTTTCAGGACTCATGAAGGGCATTATGAGTTCTTGGTGATTCCCTTCGGCTTAACCAATGCTCCTTCAACTTTCCAGGCAGCCACGAACCACATGTTCAGGCCTTATTTTAGGAAGTTTATTATAGTTTTTTTTTATGATATCCTCATTTATAGTGGTTCCAAGGATGAACACTATAATCATCTTGTAATAACTCTGACTTGTTTGCAGGAAAATTTGTTTATGGTCAAGCTTAGTAAGTTTGCTTTTGCCTTGGCTGAAGTGGATTATTTAGGCCACTTGGTGTCTGGAGAAGGTGTGAAAGCTGATCCCACTAAGATTGCTTCCATGAAGCATTGGCCACTGCCTAAAACCATCAAACAGTTGAGAGGCTTTATTGGTTTGACAGGGTATTACAGAAGATTCATTCAACATTATGCAGTCATAGCATCCCCATTGACAGATTTGTTGAAGAAGGATTCCTTTCACTGGTCCGAGGAGGCTGCCCAAGCTTTTGAAGCTTTGAAGGAAGCCATGTCAAGCACTCCTGTCCTTTCCCTCCCTGATTTCTCTTTGCCCTTTGTAGTGGAGACTGATGCCTCGGCAGTTGGAATTGGTTCTGTGCTCCAGCAGCATAATCATCCTATTGCATTCTTCAGTAAGAAGCTGGGACCTAGAATGAGGGTGGCTTCCACTTATGTTAGAGAGTTGTATGCTCTCACTGAAGCAGTTAAGAAGTGGAGGCACTATTTGCTGGGCTCTAAATTCATAATTCGTACAGATCATAGAAGTTTGAAGGAACTCTTAACTCAAACTGTCCAAACAATTGAGCAGCAAAAGTATGCTTGCAAATTAATGGGATTTGATTTTTCCATTGAATACAAGCCAGGATCAGCCAATGTAGTTGCTGACTCTTTGTCTAGGTGTTGTGAGGAAGACCAAACCGGTTTGACTTTGGCTTTACTATCTGAACCTACCTTTTCTTTGGTGGATCAAATTCGGGAGGAGAACAAAATTGATCCAGAATTGATCAATAT